GCCCCAGACACGGCTCTGTATGTATCTACACACACATAAAGAGACCTGGCTGTAAATCCAAATCAAAGAAGGAAGTGATGATAATAAAATAATAATGAACCAACGCTGGCGTCTAAGTGAAGGTGGAACCTGGAGCCCGCAACAGGGTGCAAAATGCCAGCTGGTTCTGACTGGGGACAGCAGAACCCAGCTTTGACCCTGGCCACCCCTGCACCTCTGGGAGCCCCTTGCAGGCAGCTGCTCATGGGGCGGGCAGAGACACATGGTCTCCGCGCCTTGCCCAGGCAGGTGGCTCTGGGGTGAGGGGCAGGGCTCCCCCTGGCACCTCTGAGCAGAAAGGATCCTGCTCTGTTTGGTCCAGATGTAAGAGTGGGGTGTGGCCCTTCTTAGGCCCACCAAGCTGTCTGCCCCTATTGTGCAGGGAATGCTGGGGGTGTGGGGAGGGAAAACCCCAGGCTCTTTGCCCTGGCTCCTGTGATTCTCTTCCCTCTTGCCTCTGCAGGCCTCGGGAAGCTGCCAGCACTGAGTCACTGTGCCGTGCAGCCCCCACGTTCCCTTGCCCAGTCCAGGGTCTGCCAGAGCTGCTCTCAGAGGTGTTGGGTCCTGGGAAAAGAGTAGGAAGACAGACCCAGGAAGCACCTGGCGGCCAGGGAGGGGCAGCCTGTGGGTATGGCCTCTGGGTCATGCCCCCACACTCCTGTCACTCAAGCCCTGGGCACACAGTCAGCTGTGCGGGGACTTCTGGACAGGGGTTACATACACCTGGGAACCCAGGGCTGAGCAGCCAGGGCTCCAGTAATCACCAAGCAAAGGACACATCTGGCCTCTTTTGTCAGCAATCAGGGCCATGCCAAGCTGTGAGGCTTCTAATGGCCAAACTGTCCGTCTGCCTGTTTCTCCATTTATACTTCTTTTCTTGAGGTGGGGTCTCCCAAAGTAGCCCAGCACGGCCTAGCACTCCCATGATGCTCCTGCCTCAGCCTCTCAAGTGCTGGCATTGCAAGTGTGTTCCTGCAAGCAGCTGTAACGGCAGCCTGCCTCGGGACACTGCCTCAGATGTCACACGTGTTGTCTTGGTGCAGGGTGCAGGGAGGAGCGAACTGTTTTAGACTCTCTGCAGTTGTTTTACACCTGCAGGACTCAGTCCCGCGTTCGGCTAGAAAGGTTAGCATCTATGTGGACATCGTGATTAAGCTGGAAGCAGGCGGGACATGCTCATCCTGCCTGGAGCCTGAGTTTCTACGCCTCACCTAGCAACCTCCTTCCTCTAAACCTCACCTCTTCGCCAGGCCCTCGTTTTATGGACAACTGGACCGGCCAAGGCGTCCTGCTGTTTGGTACATGACATCCTCTCCCATGACACCACAGTGCCCACTGGCTGCCAGGACACATGCCAGCTCTCTGTGGGGGACAGGACACCCCATGGAGCAGGGGTGAGAAGGCAGAGGCAGAGGCGGAGGATGCAGGGCTGCGGGGCCAGAGGTAACTGGGAAGGGGCAGGATTCTGCCTTGGGCAAGGGGGTGGCTGCGGAGAGAAAGCAGGGCTACAGGAGGAGGTGAAGAGGGCTTTCAGTTATCCCAGCTCTGGATGTCAAGGGTTTGATGACTAAGTGTAGTGAAAGCCAGTATTCAGTTTTCCCAGTGTGCATGAGAGGCTAGGTAGGCTGCTAGGGAGGAGACAGCAGGTTTCGGGCCACGTCTGTGGTGGTCAGTCTGCAATGTGTGTGAACTGGGCACGGTGCAGAGGCCGACAGCAGCGTGGGCTTCGACGCTCCCCTCTGGCCTGTGCAACTGGCATACACTTCAGGAGGGCCTGGGGCCCTTTCGAGCCTGTGGGCACAGAGATCTGGCTGGGCACGAGGCTGGGGCTGCACTGGACAGTGAGTTTAGTAGGCATAAGGACCACGCCTTCCACTGTTTCAGAGTTTTAGACTCTTAGAGGCAAAAGGGCCTTTAGGGTCTACCCAATGCCTACCTTTTGAAAATGGTGGCAGAAATACCGAAGGTGTACCTTCTTAGCTGTTTTTCCTTATTTTTTTGAAAATAGGTCTCCTTACAGCCCAGGCTGACCTCGAACCTGTGACGCTCCTGGCTCGGTCTCCTGAGGGCTAGCTAGGGTTACTGGCTGTGCTGCTACATTGCACTCATTTAACCAGGTCTGCAGCTCCAAGGTGGAAAGCCACTGCCTGCCACCATGCCAGGGTTCTGCTGTCTCTCCAGGTGTGGGCCTCTCCTGAGGTGTGACTCCACCCAGCGTCCTGCCAAAGGCAGTGCTGCTCTGTCTAGGGCCGTGGTGGGCTTTCTGCGGAAGCTTGCATGGCTCTGTCCTTCTAGGCCTGGCTTGGGGCCCTCAGTGTCACCTTTTCCTGCTCCCCTGAGCTGCTGCAGATGCCAGAGGCCAGTTTGGGAGGTGTCCCACAGACCAGTAGAGTTGCAGGGACTGGCACACTCACCCCCACCCCACCCCCACGGTCACGGAGGTCTGTGTTCCATGGAGCAGGCAACAGTCAGACGGGCCTGGCCCTCGGAGGGGCGTGGTGCACACAGCGTGTTGGACGCCCCCCACTCCCCGCTGGGAGCACCCATCCAGCCTGGGGGCCTGACCCAGAGCAGGGCAGGCCTTGCCTGTGGTCCTGTGTCCACGCAGGACTTCATCCAAGGACATCTCCCTGTATCTGGAAAGCTGGAGGCACGAGTGGGACTGTCCCATTTCTATCTGGACACCCTAAAGCCTCAATCCATCCCTGAAGGCAACAATTACAGACGCTGTCAGGAGGCATGGCCTGAAAGGCCGGGGTGGGCGCGCGGGTGTGCCGGAGGGCCTCTCACCTCCCTCGGCGACCTCTGTCCCTCTGCTCCCCTGCGCCTCGCCCTGCGGACCTCTCCTCCGCAGCCCCTCTGCCTCGCTGTGTCTTCTGAGCCAGCGCACCCTGGACTGAACAGTCAGCCAAAATAAACCTCTCCTAGTTTACGCGGCACCAACAATGAGGAAAGTGACTAAGACAGGGACTCTATAATTTTTATGTCTCTAGAGGTATAAAGCAAGTGTTTACTTTTCCAGAAAATCAAAAATTAAATTCGTGTGAACTTTACGCCTCCCAGCGAAGTGCTGAGAAAAGAATGCAGCATGTCTAGGAAATTATCTGCAGCCCGCACTCAAGCCTTAATGTCCTCTTAAGAATTCCTCTCTGAATTAAGGTCTTCCTCAATGCGAGCCTGTTTTTAAGGTCTATTACTATTTTATTATTATTTATATCTACACATATACAGCTCTTTAAGTAATTCTAGAAAACACTTTCATTTTTAGAAAAAGCTGATATACACACTATAAATTAAACCTTTTAGGGCCCAAACTTTTTAACCTCAAGATTTTATATACATAGTGACAACTCCATCAGCAAAGTTTCTCCTAAGAACACGGGAATGGCTCTCTCTAAGCCAAATGCACAGTGACACTCTGGTAAGAAGAGTGTAACATGTTGTCCCTGGATGCCAAATATTTAGCAGAGACCAAAGCGATTCAGTCCAGACGGCAGTACTAGGTCTGCGTGACGTCATTCAGCCAGATGCATGGAAAATCTGGATTCTTAAGAATTGAATTTTTGAGGTCAGCATCATGACTCAGTTTTGGGGTTAAGTAAGACATTTATAAAACAAAACTATTGGAATATAACATGCTTTGACTACCGATAATAAACTGAATGAACACTGGGTATAATTTCAGGACTATGAATCAGAGCTCATATAAAAATACCACGTACAATGCAGGCAGGGCATTTCAAAGCTGCATTTTTAAGACTGTTAATGAAGCATGTTGAGCACAGTGGTGTTTTGAGAGAAGAAAGCAGCCACCCGGCACAGACCCAGTCCCCCACCCCTATTGAGCTTGAACACAACCCAGAAGGGTGGAGGGGAGCTTGTCCTTCCGCTTTCGTATTTTCAAGATAATTATGTAACTCCAAGCTGCCCAGGGAAGCCTCTGGATTCGTGAGGGAATGGGGCATGGGCGCTGATCTGCAAGACTTAAGGCAGTCTGAGCAGGAGACAGTGACTCTGCTGCTATGCGGCAGTGGCTTGGGAGGCAGCAGCAGGCATGGGGAGCTCAGGGGCAGCAGGCATGGGGAGCTCAGGGGCAGCAGGCATGGGGAGCTCAGGGGCAGGTGCCCGCCCCAGCTGTAAACCGAAGCCCTTTCCACCTGGAAGCCGAAGTTGCGGGCTCCCAGACGCCCACCTGGCGGTGCCCACAGGGAAGTAGCCATAGGCAGCGTCTGGAGACCGAGCCCTAGCACAAGGCACATTGCCCAGAGCCCTCCAGACAGCAGGGCCACACCCTCCCTGCAGCGGGGAGGAGACGTCACATCTAAGGAGGACAGGAGTGCAGATCTTTTCCACCTGTGCCTTGGTTCCACCCCACGGAGCTCTGCACTGCCGCGCGCCACGCTGAGCAGGGCCCTGCGCCTGCATTCATGGCAGCCACTCCAGGGCTGGCACAAAACTCTCCCTCCCTTGGACCACACTGGTCCCCACCTCCAGTGCCTCAAAGATGAGCCTTGGGCACACTGCTGTTGCCTGCCAACTGCCTGCCTGGAGCACACATTTCAGCCTCCACCAGCACCTTGCTCCCCAGGGAGGGGGCTTCGCCCCAAAACACCTCCCAGACTCCACAAGCTCAGCCTTTTCCCTCCTTTCTCCTAGGCCTTCCAGTTCCTGGGCCCCTCCCAGCATGCTCCGGGCTCTGGGGTCCCACTCAGCCTCATGTGCTTAGTGGCCACCAGCCCCAGCGGGGCACCTTCACCAGCCCCAGCACTATAGTTCCAGCACAGAAGCCCTCTCATCCACCCCCAGACTGACGCAGAGGCTGCAGGCTCATCCTGTATGATTCTGCACAACACGTGCAGAAGGCCCGGGCCGGGCCTGGGCCTGCCCAGCCAGAGGACGCTGCACAGGGCACCTGCGGAATAACAAGCTGCAGCACATACAGAAAAGAGGAGACGGCCCACCTGTGTCTGTTGAGGGATATTTACAAAGCTTGGATCCCGTGGTCCAACACTGACGAATCGGTTTGCGGGGGAGGTGCTGGGTGTCGAGTAGGCTGTGAAGGGAAGGGACACATGCGTTCAGGAAGCAGCACGAGATTGCACACACAAACAACACCCAACACGGGTCCCTGGGCCCACGCTCGCTGCTTAGGAGGACGTTTGTGGACACTGGCTGGCGAGGGTGCCTTCCGTGGTGTGAAGGGCAGGGACTCACCGACCTTTCCTGGGCTCAGAGTCCAGAGGCCATCTCCCTGCCAGCACTGAGGAGAACCTGCAGGACACCGGACATCTACTCTCTACATCAAACACAAGCTCTGGGGGAAGAAGAGGCCTGCGACTCGGAGCAACCTAGAGAGGAAGCAAGCAGGGAGCGGAGGGCGCAATCCGTGCTGCAACCTGGATCCTCACACTGCTGCGGCCCGACGGCACAGGCCGGCACTGGCTGGAGAGAAGAGGGGTCCTCACAGGAAGGAGGCAGAACTGTGCAGAGTACCCGTGCCCGGGACGGTCAGGACGCTATGGCGTGCGGACTCCTCCCTGTGGCCCTCCCTGCCTAGGCCCTCTGGGTGCACACCACCTCGACCCTCGCTCTCGGCCCCAGGACGCGGAAGTGAGTTTTCACGTTTACACGTGAGTGCTCCAGCCTCACGAGAAAAATGTTCAGTGACTCGGATGTCTCACTGGCTTGCACGCTGAAAGGCGCATCTTGTGTGTCCCGCAGTCATTGACCACCACCGCTAAGGGTTCACTTCCCTCTCTTCCTTTGTGCTGGAACCTCCAGGCCAGTGGAGGCAAACCTACAGCACACAGTGTCCTTGAAAACTCTGGAGGGTTCACCCTTACCGTTTTGAGCTACTGCTTAATTCCAGTCCTTATAAAAGGCTAACGAGGGGCTAAGTAGACACACATTATCCAAAGGGAAGAAAGGATTCAGTTTCTACCAGATTGTTTTTCCTGTTGATATCACTGTATTCCGTTACTGTGATTTTCTCTTTTATGGGAAACTGCTCCTGCCTCTGGTCTCCCTGCTGAACATATCTGAGAGCCAACCCCACCGCCTGGCTCCAGTCCTGTTGGTCATCTGTGGTCAGAGCCAAGCCGCCCGAGGGGATCTGTTGTTGTCACGTCGCTGCAGCTGTGTGAAGCCACAAGGACAGAGGATGAGCACAAGCCGCCATGTCTGCACCTGCACCCCCCTGCTGTCACAGCAGCGCTCCCCTGGGACGGCTCCAGGACCCACCCTGTGTGTGGGCGTTCCCTGCCCACTGGGCCGCGCTGCACCTTGTTGGTCTGGTCTTGCCAGAGTCAGACGGACCTCTGCAGCAGCGCTCTGCAGGTGCCTTGCAGTTGGAGGAAATTTAATTTTTGACAAAGCAAAATGCTTCTGATGCCTTGTTCCCTTCAGGCCAGGCTTTCACTTGTCACACCTCAAGGAGTCTGAACAGAAGCTGTTTGTGAAAACCACAGCTGGGATCCCATGGCAGTGTGTTCTCCAGCCTGGGGCACACAGTTGCAGGAGAAGAGGGGGGACCCCGGGGTGGGGCTGAGCCTCCTTCTCAGGCACAGAGGACGGCAGGTAAGGGGAGGAGGAAGAGTAGCAGGTGTGGCCAGGCCTGGTCACAGACACTGAGGCCAAGCCCTTGTGCGGCGGCCTTGGAAGGACAGCGGGCCACTCGTGGGCTGCTTGGATGTGCAGGCACTGCTGTGTGGGACACCGCGGTGGGCCTGCCGCCAGTCGGCTCATGCGACACATGGACACATGCTCCACGAGGACGGCTTTCCATGGCCACAGTGCGCTCTCGGGACTGCGCAGGCATCCGTGCCACATGGCACCCATCTGCACTTTCGGTGACTACCACCACTGAAAGGAAGGGTTAGCGTACAGAGTTCAGGCACGCAGATAACCTGAAGGCTCAGGATTGGCTATTGTCCCTTCTCAGTCACGGGACAAAACCTGGATGTCCCTGAAGGTCTCTGGTGTGCCACGTTGCCCAACTGTTAAAGGACGGTGGCAGCACCAGAAGCGGGTCTGTGTTTCTAGAGAGAGGAATTTGTAACTACTAAAATCCGCCTGAGCCACAGGAATTCACCGCATAAGAAGCCAGCTTCTCAGCCAGAAGAGCACAGAGAAGGGGACAGAAGCCCTTACCTCTGCCATGCCCCGGCCACACCGGTAGCAGCTCTGTGAGAGGGACACCCGGCATGGGGCGAGTCTGACTTTCCCAAGGAAACTGTACAATTACAAAATGGAGCAAGGCCTCCGCTGAAGCTTTGTGTTAGAACAACCACAGAGACCAAGGAGAAGCCAGGACACACACACGGGTAGGAGCTCGGCACTGTCAGCAGGTTGCCTTACTTACAAGGCCAGTGTCCGAAGGGGAGGGTCTGGCAACCAAGAAGCCCTGGCAGCCGGCGGAGCACTGAAGTAGTTCTGGTCTTTGGGAGGGGCTTCCCAGGAGGAACGGACGACTCTCTGGATAACGCTGCAGGTCATCCCTGCGCAAGTCCAGGGCTTAACCTGAGCTTGGGAATCCAACTGGTGCTTGTCTGGCTGTGTGGAAGGCGTCTGCTCTCCTCTGCAGCAGTCATTCTGTGCACGTGAGCAACTGCATGCCGGCTGCGCCCTCGCAGTGGCGGGAGCTCCCTCTGCTCGGTGCCCCTGATGTACTTCCTTGCATTACTGTAATGTCTTCTGTAGCCGGCACCACGGCACCAAGTACAGGAATCCCCACAGGAGCCAGATCCCCTTCACAGAGAGCAGCTTCTGGCTTCCCCTCACAGTGTAGTGCCTGTTGGGCAGCATGGCCCTGCCCCCGGAGGTTGGCTGGGGCACAGCTCAGAAAGGCTCTGTCACTGTAAGCCTGGGTCCCCTGCAGGGGCCCGGGGTGGTGCTGGCATCCAGCTGGGAGGAGGACACATAGTGGGGAGCTGCCCAGACCCCCAGTAGATGGCCCCTGCTAGCGCAGAGCCAGCAATGGATAGGGTCTGGCTAAGGGAAGATGGCCTTCCTGGGCACCTTGGAGCTGAGTGCAGGCATCTTCACACAGTGCCAGTGCTGGGAATGCAGACACAGAACTCTGCTTAAAGGCTTTAAAAAAATGACCCAGTTCCTGCTACTCTGCGCTGGCGGGAGCAGACGCAGCCCAGGCGGAGCGTGGGCCGGACCCTCTCCCACCCCCTCGGGC